CAGGAGAGGCCACCTTTACTGTGCAGCTGGATGTCCTGGGTAAGCCTTCCAAGAGATCCTAGAGTGTCTTTAATCCTGCAGTATTAAAAAAGAAAGTATTAAAAAAGAAAATCCCAGAGGACTTCATATTTAAGGTTAATGTCTATACTACACAACCCATTAAATGCCAATTTTTACCTAAAAGCCATGGGTTTGGGGGAGGGGTAGGGGGGAGAATGATGTTCTTGAGGGAAACTAGAATGACAGATCCATCACTAAAACTTTTCTGGAAAGGAAATAAAGAAATGGTATAATTTCAGACAGACCAAATAAGGTATTATGAGCACATTTCTAGATGTAAAATAACTAAAGGGTCTTAAAGTGAAATTTTTTAGTCTAATCATTTCTCTATTCTTCAGTCTAAAATAATCACTCTGCACCTGAAACTAATATAAAATAATATTAAATATCAATTGTAACTGAAAATAAAGAGAAAAAAAATCTATCTCAATTTTCACAGAATATTCATAATATTCATAATCATGTATAGTTTAACACTGAAGAGTAAATGTCAACTTTTAGCTTTAGACTATGTTCCCTTTACTAAGAAACTAGACTCTATGACAATAAAAACATGCCTAGTTGCTTTAGAAAACAAGTATAGTAAAACATGTCTCAAATTTGTCTTTATAAGGCAGTTCTCATAAAAACTAATGTTCTGTTTTAAAGTATTACAATTTAAGTGCTTTAAAAATATCATATTTGTAATGGTTTAAGCCATGGTATGTTGCATTAAGAGATACTTTTCTATAATTCACTGTTTATTGTATAAAAGCTTGGTCAAGCTAGAAAATTTTCTTGAGTTTGTATTCTACCTAGATCAATGAAAAATCTTAAGATTATTCTATGATATAAGGGGCCTCAGTCTAAGGGAAAAACTAGTGATCTGGAAATTAAAAAAAAAAATTCAAGTGGTTAAGCTTTGGGCAAATCCTTTTTGTGCCAATAGCTTCAGAAATACTATAATGTTACAGCTGGAAGAGACCTTGACAGGCATCTGTCCAATCTCTTCATTCTCCTTCAGATAAGCTAGGGTTATAGTATTATAGTATCATTTCCTCCTTTCCATCAAGTATTTAAAGAAAGACAATAATTACTGACATTCGTATAACATTTTATAGTTTACAAAGTACTCCTTCATTCATTATCTCAATTGATCCTCATAATAATTTTGTATAGTTAGCAAAGTAGTCACTGTTACTTGGGATTGTGTTATTTTATACTAGATAAAACTGAACCTCAGTCTACAGCCATGTCATTGTAAACAAGCCCGATCCCGTCTGATCTCGGAAGCTAAGCAGGGTCAGGCCTGGTTAGTACTTGGATGGGAGACCATCTAGGAAGACCAAGTTCTGTAGCATAAAAAATGAAAAATAAGGGACTGTAAGCTGTCAAGGTCCTTGCAATCTGTGAGGTCAACCAAGGATTGCCTTGCCAAATAAACAAACAAACAAATAAATAAATAAGTCTGAACCTCAGAGAAACTAAACAAATTTTTCCCTATTTGGCATGGCTAGTGGGGCAAATAGAGAATCTGAACTCAAGTTGTCTGATACTCTTTCCACCATTCATACTACCTCCCTAAAGATGACATGATAAATGAAAATGACTTATACTCCATGAGTGAAACATGATTATAAATTTGATGCATCTTTACATTACTGTTTTAGAACTTTAAATGGTATAAAACAATATCATATATTATTTTAACTAAAACATAAAGCTTTCAATCCTGTTATTTTTAAAAACTTCTATATCAACATAAAATTTCATAATACTTTATATTTTTATCTTATATCACTTAATCTTTTTTATAATATTTCAAATACTTGATCTTTTTATTAATATGTAGCTAAAGAACATAGAAGAGCACCAATGTTTATCTATAAGCCACAGAGCAAAAAAGTTTTTGAGGGAGACTCAGTGAAGCTAGAATGCCAAATCTCAGCTGTACCTCCACCAAAACTTTTCTGGAAAAGAAATAATGAAATGGTACAATTCAACACTGATCGAATAAGGTAGGATAAGTATTTCTAGACTTAACTATAGTTTACTTGGGTCAATCCAGTTTTAATTTGAAATGCATTATAAACGGCATGTATCTGTAATCTCAATTTGTCTCATTTTTAAAAGATACAGAAATATAATAAACCTCATTAAACCAGATTCTACTAATCAGAAATTTAAGTCATAAAGCAGCCTAGGATTTACTTTTTTACTAACAAGAAACAAAGATGGCTTGAGGAAACACATGGCATAAACAATATTGAGGGGGGTGTTTAATTCAAGTAAACCAATAGCTATTTGGCAATGACTAGATATAGCCTCAACATTTCCAAATGCTTCTTTTTCTTATTAGTCTGACTCTGTAGATCAAAGTCATCATAAACTTTCACTGGAAAATTAATTCCTATACCTTCAATTTTAAATTGTTTTTCAGCTTATATCATGATAACTCTGGAAGAGTTACTTTGCTGATAAAAGATGTAAATAAGAAAGATGCTGGATGGTATACTGTGTCTGCAGTTAATGAAGCTGGAGTGATCACATGTAACACAAGATTAGATGTTACAGGTATGTCACACCAAGTATTATAAAAGACTTAACCAGGAAGATTTAATAAGAGACACGAATCCCAGCAAAGTATAAAATCTGAGGGATTTTCCCCATAATCAGTTTTGATCTTGTTTCTTTTTCTGTCTGATAATACCTAGTGCAACACATTTGTTTAGAACAGGTTTTCTGAATAAACTTTTATTTGCTCTATTTCAGCCCGTCCAAATCAAACTCTTCCAGCTCCTAAGCAGTTACGTGTTAGGCCAACTTTCAGCAAATATTTAGCACTTAATGGAAAAGGTTTGGATGTGAAACAAGCTTTTAACCCTGAAGGAGAATTTCAGCGTCTGGCAGCTCAATCTGGACTCTATGAAAGTGAAGAACTTTAATAACTTTACCAACATTGGAAAAATCAACAATTACAGTATTAGTAATATATTCAATTAAATTTTTGAAATAAATCCATAGCTGTATTAACATATCTTTAATTAGGTAATATAACTAATATATATTTAAAATATTATTATCCTTTGACTCTTGCACATTCTATCTACTTCTCTGGTTTGTGAGGCCTACAAAAAATGTGGGTATATAGGTTTTTAACTGTGGAAGACTATCTTAAAATGTGGGGATTCAACATCTAAATCATACACATTTAACAATTACAGGTTATGAATTAGTATCAACTTTTTAAACACACCTAATGCTTGTAATAAGATTTACTAGTACTACATCCTAAATACTGTTTTACCTGTTTTCTCTTATAAGAATACTAACATGGTATAGATTATCTGAGTGTTCCATAGTTTTGTCAAAATAAAATTTCAACTATTTAAAACAGATTGTCTCCTCTTCACAAAAGTCTAGATCTGTAAGATAAAATTGCTTTTCATATATTAATTTAGCAAACCTATGAATAACCAGTTCCAAAAAGCAACAACGTTACATTCTAGAACAGTGTGTCTTCTTGAAGTCAATTCCTCCTGAAAGTGAGCTAGACCTTCTCAGGTTTGCACTCCAAAGGCAACAATTTGTAACTTAAATCATGATAAATTCTCTCTCGAAATAGCGATTTTGTTTTAACCAATTAGGTCTCTAATTCAACATCTTTGAGATTATTAAACATAATGGAATAAGAATAGTCTCTAGAATCATCTGCTTCATTCTTACATTCAATGTAAATTTGAATACCTATATTTTGTGGGTTTTTCTTCCTACATTTAAAATTCAGCTAACCTATTACATTAGAAAGCATAATTTTGTAAGCACCTGAGATTTGAAGTACAGGAAAGGTCAAATCCTTTTATTAAACTATTCCTAAGCTAAGACAGTAGCCTTTTTTTTTCTCAGGCCTCTTGTCCACTGGCTGTTGGCCTTTTGCTAGGCCTCTCCAGTTTCTTTTATCACAGGTAGCCTTTGACTCTCCCTGCAGTGTGGCCTAGTTTTGCTTTTTATTTGGACATAAAACAGCATTTATCAACATAAGAGTACATCTCTTTCAGGGAAATAACAAAACTGACTTTATTTTTTACTTCCAAAACAGCTTGATGGTTTTCTTTGCCGGCTGCTCTGGGGCCTTTCGACTGATTTCCGTTTTATTTTCCTTTTACCAACATGAGAATCCCTCCTTTCTCATATCCTGGCAGGCTTTGGATACCTTAATTTACGGCCAAATTTGTTTGGTCTTTTCTACGGCTGGTTTACAAACCCTCCTTCTCATCCCTGCAAAGCTTTGGGACCAGATGTGAGTCTGGGCTCCCAAGAACTGCTTTGAACAACCCTTTTACATAATCATTGCAGAACTGTATTTTTGTTTGTTTGTTTACCTATTTTAACGTTCCCTTTAACCTTACTGGGTGGAGAGAAAGGTGGAAGCTATTTCTAACAACAGCTCTCGGTTAATCACAACCAGCTTCCGCAAGTAGCAGCGGCAGCGTGAGGTCTTGGTTAGGCAGGCATTTAGGCTTTGACGTCCAGCGGACCTTGCCCCCAACATGCCGTGGACTTTGGTAAATTATTTACCCTCTCAGCACCCTCGGTTTCTTCAGACCTAAAATGAGGATGAAACACCTACCTTACAGGAAGGGGGTGTGAAGACCAAACAAGCCAATAAATGTTAAAGGTATTCAAGAAAGAAAAGCCCGTTATAATTAATTATTACGATTTTTATGATTAACCTCAGGCCCAAAGCCAGGTTTGCCCTAGAAGTCGGCACTCCTCTGGAGACGATCGCCGCAATCTCCGACCCCGCCTCAGGCGAAGCCCTTCCAGAAGGTCCTCGGTGCGCACGCGCGTTTGCAACTTGTAGCGCAGCTTGCGCCCCTCGAGGAGCTGGAAGGCTCGCGCAGGCGCATGAGGTAGGCGGTTCGCGCAGGCGCGGCAGACCTGGGGAGGTCAAACGGGCATCTCTTCCAGACGCGCCATGGCTGAGGCGTCCCGTTGGCAGCAAGGCGGTGAGGGGTACTCCAAGGGAGTGGGTGGAGCAGGGCGAAATTGGTGATGCCAAATACCCTGGAAGGAACTTCATAGCCCAGTATTTATTTATGTGAACTATATGACCTTCAGCACGTTTAACCCTTAAGCGAAGAGGGACGGTGGTCCCATTTCACAGGAAAACTGAAGCCTTGAATGAGGGACATGGCAATCCCCCAAGGCTCGAGCTGGGTGCTGTCAGTTGCTGTGCAATGACCGTCGCTAGGCCAGTCTCCGAAGTCCTGTGTCGAGCTAGGATGTGCTTACCTTGACAGAACCACAGACCGTGTCTTTTTCCACTTTCAGCAAAATCCAGCCTTCCCAAGAAGCAGTATTGACGGGTAGAGAAGACGATTAGAGACAGATGTCGGAGGGGGTTTGTTTTATATATTGCTTTTCAATTTTAAGACAGTACTGGTCTTGTACATCCGTGTTATAAAAATTCATTAGTATACAGTCATAAAATGACCGCCCACTTACCCCCATGGGAAAACGTTAGTAATTATTCCTCCCTCATAAAAATGAAAATAACCAGAAACCTTTGGCGCTTTCCTTCACACAGTAACGCTAAAAGTGGCTGTTTTTCCATCATTGTTCTTTATATACATTATGAATTACATAAAAATGTAAGGAAAATTTTGTTTATATCTCACAGGGACTCCAAAACATAAGCTGCATTTCAGAAAGGAAGACGAAATTAAAACCACACTTCAGGAGTTGTTACTCTACTTTATTTTTTTAATAAACTTATGCATATGTAAGTACACAGATATAGATGAAGACCCTGTTTGAACTAAGAAGTTATATAGAGATGAGTAATAAAACATGGACTTTATAAAACCATAGGCTTTCAGATTACTAAAACCTCTCAAAAAATAGTGATACATTTCAAACATCTTAAATTCATTTAGATTGACAGTATTCTTAAAGGGCAAAACTTTAGATCATAAATGTAATACGAAGTTTTCATAGTCAACACTGAATTAATTATTCTTTTTGGTTGACAGTTCTATCTTGAATATACTCCCTTGAGTTGGCAATTCTAACTTGATTTCTTTTAGAGCCATATGGATACATTATCGCAGTTTCATAGGTCAAACTACAAATGAAGCCAAAGAAGTTAGTCTTCACGTCCGCTTTGTTCTTGTCCCTGTTCTGTTGCACAGTTAATAGTAAAATATACTTCTGCTGAGTCACAGAAGGTATCAATCAATGCAATTCTTTAAGGGGGACTAGGACAACCTCTCAACCTTCACTCCTATCTGTGGGTCAATAGCATTGACTTAATCAGTATTTAAAAGCATTTCGTCTTTAGAGCACCCAATATACAGTAGATGTAAGCTAACTGGCCAGACTTAAATCATTTTGGTATGGACTACATATTGGCAGTGCATTTGAGTTGGATCTTGATTAAAAAGACAACTATAGCCAAACTTATAAATTAACGTATCTTAGACTGGTTTTTAAATACTTAACTACAAGACAGTTAAGGAATGAAAAACTAAAAAGATCATTCATAACCCCATGATTTGGGGATTTAAAAACACCTTTTTATAATTAGGAAGAATTGAAAACAATTTAAATATCCATCAAAAGAGGATTTGCTTAACATTTTGGTATATACAATGAAATAATGCAACATTAAAGAATGGCATAGGCTCATGTGTTCCATAGAAAGGTGTTGAAGATACATGGTTTCTAAAAACCAAAGGGCTTTTAGCAACAACAGCAAAAGACATAGTCTACACCCGAAACCCACCCA